TTTATCTTCAAATTTAACTTTCTTTATGACCAAACTTTTTCCATAATTTCCTTGGCTTACCCTTTCATTGGATTGTATAGGCCTACCATCTTTGAGCCAAACAGTTTCTGGTAAAGGACTACAAGTATCAAGTAAAAATAAATGTATAAACTAATATATAGATATAAATTAAATGCGAATWAAAAACTTACGTTCCACCATAAATACAAAACAATTCAACTTTTTTACCCAATAATGCTACTTCATTTCTTCTAGTTACATATTGTTGAGTAGGTGGATATTTGTTTTGTAAAGCTGTTTCTGCAGTTTGAATAACGTTCAAATTTACAGGGTTGCCTAATKTATACTCGCTCCTAATAGTTATAATTAAGTTAAGTTATTCAAATGTTTTCATTGAAGAGATATTTTTATAGTAAAAATATACATACATTGTCAATGATTCAGCATAACAAAAATATGTAGATCCATCACTAGTATCATGTCTGGTTACATTTGAAAACCAAAGATTACCTTCTGGATCTAATGTCATTCTAGTGTTGTTAACTGTTGTTAAGCCACCATCTTTATTCTAATGGTAAAATAATATTTTTATCATATGTGTGCTCAATCTATTAATGTATTTTTAAGTGTTTACCCTTATAAGCCAATAAACATTTGGCTTAGGCCATCCGGTTGGAGGATGACAAACAAGTTTAAACGGATCACCTTCTTGAGCTTCAACATAAATTGTTGGTTCATCTTTAAAAGAATTTAATTCAGCCTTCACAACCATCACAGATTTGGAAGTTGCTGTACCCCAAGTGTTTTCTGCAAAACATTGATATTGTCCTGTAAAAACAAAAAGTAGTTTGATTAATTAAATAGTAAACAAATAACAATCATCTTTGAAAAAACAAACAAACCTAGATCTTCATCTCTAGGTTCAGTAATAGTTAATGAACCACGGCCAGGTTGTTGAGCTATTCTGTCATCATATGCCTGCCAATCAAAATTCTTACCATTTTTCATCCATCGATACCTATCATACAAATTTTAATATTTTGTTGTATAAAATAAAAATAGTACATAATTCAAAAAATTTTAATTACTTTGGAGCAGGTTCTCCTTCTGCTTCACAATCAATTACAAAGGGTCTAACATTTTGATTTTGAACAGTAGCTACTTGAAATAGTACTTCATCTGTAATAGATTCTTTTACAATTCTTGGTGGAGATTGAACTAGAATCATTTAAGTATAACAAAAATGTAAATAAACAACACATAAAAATTATTTATTTATAACCTTATACACTATACAAACATTTATAAAATTAAAATGCAATAAATATTATGTTGAAATTTTTCAAGTTTGTATCAAGTAGTTTGATGCCTTAACTTAAAATATTTACTATACTTCTTCAAAAGTTAAGAATCGTCAAAGTGAAAAGACTTAAACATTCACAGGGTCATCTTAAAGTATTAAATGTATTATTTTCATAAAATGTATTTTCACTTAAGTTTAAGTTAAAACAAAATGGCAAAACAATGCAAATAAATAAATAAATTGCATTTTAATTATTTTTAATCTACATTATATATTCATGTTTCATACCAAATAAAATTTCCATGATAATTTCATATTGCTTATATAAATGTTGATACTTACTTATAGATGAAGTTGTTACAAGRAATACAAATAACAATACTACTGAGTAAAGCAAATGTTGAGAAATTCTATACATTTTGATGTTCTGATGCTCCGAATATATTGATTAAAAGCTAAAAACAATATAAATTGTTATCAATATGATTATTTAATTGTTGAAAACAAAGAATGTAAAATAAAAACTATGATTATGAAAATAACTAATTAAAGTAAAATAATTTATTTATAATTTTATAATTATGATTAATATCAGTTTTATTATTTCTGAACTTATTAATATGGATACTAATTATAAAAGGTTAATTTGATAGTTATTTAAATTATTTTAAGTTATTCATTATAATAATTGTTTTTGTACATTTTTTTTTAGAAATATATTTCATAATTTATAAATAGAAATGAATGATCTACTATATACTTCTTATCTTAAATTGTTATGAGCTAAGAATACTATTTATAGAGATGAAAAAGAAAGCATGACTCATTATGATGACTCATAACTCATAAGTGTAACAAATTTGCTTCGTTTTAAAACTGTAATAAGGTGTATATGAGTATTTATTTTTTTTTAATTATTAACATATCATATCATATCATATAAAATGTAATTATTTTGTTCTAAATAAAACAAGGACAAGTAGAATTTAAAAAAATAGATATTTATAGGTATTAAATTATTTGATTTTAGTGATTGTAAATTGTAGTAGGCAAAGGAAAAAAAGTTGATACCTACTACWTAATTTTTTATCATATTTCAATTGAATGCATAAAACTACAAGTTTTAGAATAACATATCATGATCAATATTTAAAATTATGACTATGTAAGTATAAGTAAATGCTAACATACAAATATACAATTAGCTGGCTACAGTTTAATATTTTTTAAATTCWTAATTTTAATATTTTAAGAGATTTTGCAATAAAATAAAAATATTTCTAGATGTATACAGAGTAAAACTGACACACTGTTTGTAAAATGCAGTTTTTTTAAGTTTTAGGCCAGCGTATTAGAATATATTAGGATGAAGTTTTAACATTACCTTGTTAAATGTTAGCAACAATAAKAAAAAAAAGGAAAAATTAAATAAATAAAATTGTTACTAGTAGTAAAGTAAATCAGACCGAATAAACAGACTACAGCAATAACAGAACAACCAACATCATTATCCTAATAGGTCAATAGGACCTCAGATATACGTTGACATTTATCTTTTGTAACTTATGAGCGCAATTTAACAGTCAATTACAGTTGAAGGATACATACTTTATAGTTTATAATATCCAGTATCTCATAAATATTATGAATAAGTGACCCCTACCCCCATGACATTTTAAATCAATGTAACAATAGGAACGTGTAGATATAAAACGATTGACTGTGGAAAAAAAATTTATGTTAAGCACTAATAGTAGCGCTCTGGTCACGTTCTATATAGAACCTAATAACTGTTGGGTTAGTTTAAAAAGTTGCGTGTGAATTAAAACGGATAGCGTGTGTAAAAAAAAATCAATTTTACAGTCAACTCTGTTAACACCTAGATAAACCCTGCAAAAATGAAAATACACAAAATTGTACACCTTATACACTTACCTATATTAATGTTAACGAACTGAATACAAACACCAAGTTAAGCATATTTAGGTTTCAACGACATTTAAATTTAGTACAACGTAAATTCAAACTATAAATTACATATTATTAGCGTATAAAAAGCGACATTAAATATGAATAGTGAATACAAGCAACTACACCTCTCCGCTCTCGGCTGACGGCTGCTGCTGTCACTACTGTAGTTGCAGTTACACCCACAAATAAACAAAACACAAAAAATTCATGGAAAACATGAACACATCATGGAAGATATAAATTGAGGTTAGGTGTATAACGACAATTTATGGACAGGAAACGAACCTTTATCATTTTTTGAACAAGATATGTTACGGAATACGGAAAGCTAATGAGTGATTGTAGCGCTGTTTACTGTTTGGTACCTATTATTTTGGTTATTGATATTATAAAATTGAATAAGTCTCTAAATACTGTTTATGAAATTATGAAGCTGATGAAAGATACCTACAAAATTTGTATTTGAGACTATTAAATAAATAATTATTTAGTATTTTATCATAACAAAAACTATTTTTTTGTATTTTTTAACAACATTAATTTTATTATTATATTCAGAAACTAAATTATTCCGTAAGTTATTTTACGAAGTCAGCAGCTATAGAAAATTTTATTTTTATTTTTTATTTTGGAAAAGATCAAATATACAATCTGTAATTAATATATTATACTTAATACACCTTATTACAGATTTTTTATTAATGTAGTTCGATCACCGCGATCGATAGTTACACTAATGTTTTCCAATACATTTTGTATATATGATAATTGTACACTGTATACATAAAATAAAATAGGTATTTTCTTTGACAGCAGTATACCAATTATCAATAGCAACCATACACTTTAAGTTCTACCGTTACAAATACGAATAATACGATTCTTGTCGGTGATCGGTTTTATTAGGGGTATCTGATTTCTAGGTGAGAAATCGGCAGTCGTTCATAAATATGTATAATTGTATTTACTTGTTACAGACACGTATATACATGGGGGGAGGGGTTATCTAAATWTAAAAATATAGCTGTGACAATTGTCGTGGTGTTTATTTTTTGTTTCGGTTCCAAGTCCATAGCACCAGACTAACTTTTAAGTATCACKTGGACAGTTCTAAATTGGATTTTAATCCCATCACAAAATTAAATTAATCCAATCTTAAATAAGAGAACAAGGGGTTTTCCCTAATTACAATATAATTGTCTATTAATCTAATACGTTATTTAATTACAACAAAAAATAAAACTGATTTTGTCAAGAACCAGTTTACGTAAAAATTCAGATTTTCATGATTATTTTGATAAGTACCTCCATAGATGAGTATAATATGAGTACCTCCTGGCTCCTACTGAGCGCTGATGTTAATAATTAACCTATTGATTTTAGATTCTGAGCGGAGCGATGAATGTATTGTGTTTACCTTGATGTGAACAATTTTCGATCATAATTAATTTTTTTTAAATTAATATCGATAAAAATTTA